CTACAATGTCCTGCAGGGAATTCAGACACAAATCCATCCATCACACTTACAAAGGTTTCTCTGTCCGTTTCCCCACAAACAAGGAGGCTAAAGAATGGGTTCTACTGAGAACAATTCAGGCCAAGCTGTTTCGTTTCACAAGGGGGTGATTTAATAGACATTAGTTGGGCACCTGAGGGTGATGACTTGGGGAGAATTTTCCACTTGTCAGTCAGTTTTTGGGTATGGTCGACTTCACCCACTGCATGGTGACCGAAAAGCTCCCTTGGGAGCTGCCTGAGTAGGAGCAAACCCTGTCCAGGTGGAGTGGGATGGTAATACAGAACAACAGAGGGCTGTCGAGCCTCATCTTTTTACGGGAGGGAGAGGAATGCATATCCTAGCAGAGGGGGAAGATCACCCCAATTCATTCGCTTCAGAAGCACTGACATCTCTGCACCTCTCATGGCTCAGGTTGTCCCCTTTTTAGTGCATGGAGCAAGTTTCATCCACATTTTCTTTGTTTGATGTAAAATATTTCTTTCTCCTTAGTGCTTTTAATTCCAAGGACAGGCAAGGCATTTGCAAATGCTTTTGAAGTAACGGCGCTTTAATGCACAAAAGTAGAAATGAATAGCTCGTTACCCTGACAGCTGGGACAGCTCCAGCCAGGATCCTGAGCAAAACAGCTCTAAAAGAAAAAAAAAAAAGGAAAAAGAAAAAAAGAATTGTTTCAGGTTCTTTTGGCTTAAGACTTTGAGGTAACAGTTCTCTCAGGATAGGCTTCCTCCAAACCTGGCAAGAAATTGGTGCTCTTGGAGGTGTTACAGTTCTGTATCAGCTTTCTGGGTTCTGCTTTTTGGTTCAGCTTGGCTGAATCTCATTTACCTTTCAAGCTGACCTGAACCCAATTTTAGCTTCTAGATCAAACAAAATGTTGACTGGCAGTCCCCATATGACAGTTTTCACAAGACCCTCTGATGCTATATAACTTTCCACACTGGTCTTTCTGTGGATACTGAGTTTTCATGGGTTAGTAGGGAGACCAAAGTGCATGGTCTGTGCCTGTCATACTGCTCCTTGTGGCTGCCTTAAGGTTAGCTCAGGACATCTCCCTCCTGGCAGCTTGGGGTTGTTTTTAGAACGTTCTCCAATATTGATGGCGTCCCTGGAGTTTCCTTTCAGTATTGAAAGCTGTCAGTTTTTGTCTACCAATTTTGTCCCACTGACTTACCTCTGCTGCTTTTTTCCTCAGCGTTAGAAGAGAGTGCGCAGGGAAGCAGTCTGTCCTTCCGGCCAAGCTGCATGGGCCCACATCTCTTCTCCAGCATTGGCAATGGCATTAGATTTGCCAAGCCTGAACTTGTCACTGCCATCTGAGCCCTGGAAGAACTTAGAGGAGATCCTCAAGGTCTCTGGTGCTGCCTTGTCTGGTGGTGGTGGGTGAAGTGAGCAGCAAGGCCTTTCAGCAAGCAGCCATCCAGGGTGGAAGAAGCGCTTGCAGTCAGGTTCATGATGGGGTGGCAAGGCTTGGCCACACCAGGGCTGGGGAAAATCTGGGGTGGATGTGATCTAAGCCTATCTGTGAGATGGGGGTGGATCTCTGAAAGACTGGAGGATCATCAGATGGTGTAACAACAGAAGTCCTGTTGGCACTGTTAGAAGAGGGAGAAAGTGACTTCAGTCTGTGCTGTCCTTGCAGAGGCTGAGTAGCAGCACGGAGGAGCAGGTGAGCCTGGCAGAGCTGCCTGCAGCTTTGGACAACACACTCATGGTCCCCAGGAGCGGGCTTCAGCATGCAGCTGTCACCTCCTATGGTTACAAACTGCAGTGCCTCAGGTAAGGGTGCTGCTGCCTGTGAGGAGGCCCCTTCTGTGGGGTGCGTGAGATGTCTCTTAATGCACTGCTTGCTGTGCCTGCAGGATCCGGGTGAGGCAGATCGCCAGGGAGAGGGACAAGGCGAGGCTGGACTTGGAGAAAGTGGAGAGACGCTGCCTGCAGCTTGGCAGGGAGTTGGTTGAGCGGTATGTCGCTCTCGAGCACACCCAGAGCAAGCTCAAGTAGGAGAGGTCCTTTTGGTGGGGCAGTGAAAATGGTTTTCCCGTGGGTGTTCACAGCCTCTCCCTCCCGTCCAAGGCTCTCTTTACGAATCTCCCACTTGTTCTGCCATTGTGTCAGTGGCAGAGAAGTCCCTGAAGACCCTCCCCCCCACTACTGTCCCAGCATCCCTCCAACCAAGCTCTCATCTCCTGCTTTGTGCATGGTGAGAGGGGGTGTCTGGATCTCGTGGCCATCTGAGAATATGCTCCGGGTGCCCCAACCATGTTGGTTTTGTTTCCCAGGGATGTTCAGGCAGAAATAGAGGCAAAAGAGCTGCTTTTGCAGCAAGCAATCAATCACCAAGCAAAGCTGGAGGCTGATACACAGTTCTTTGAGGGCAAAGAGGCCAGCCTGCAAGGGAGACTGAACCACATGATGAAGGTAAGTAAAACTGTCCTGGGTGAAACACCTTCACTTCTTCAGAGGGGGCAAAGCAGAGGTGGTGACAAAGATGGATGCTTTGTGTTGCTGTTACTGGGAAGGACAGGAGTTTTATGCAGAAAAATCATCAGCCACATCCATACTATTGAATTAAATACAGAGCTTGTTCCCTTGCCATGACATTATTAAACTCCCATGTTGCCTGTTGGGAATGGTTTGGCCCTTGGTAACACCTGAACACCTGGTGGCTGAGGCTAAAATTGTGCCAGGGACCATGCCAAAAGCAGAGACGATGGTATCCGTGTGCCTGGGATTTTCCCAGTGCTGTTCAGTGTAGAAGTACAGACGGGATAGCTCAAGACTTGCTGCTTTTGTTGACTGTGAGGGAAACCATAGTTTTGTGAAGCAGAGGTAGAGATGAGCCTGTGGGGCCGTCTAGCTCTTATTCTGCAAAACCCACTCCTACGTCTGTCCTCTGGAGAGATGAGCCAGTCCCCAGCCCACGTGGTGTGTATCAGCAGTATGCTGTCCAAAGCAGGGTCTCCTGTGAGCTGTGCTGTGTTTGGCATGCTGATGTGCCAGTTTTTT